AAACAGGAAATAAGGCGAGCTATCGGTCCTAAGTCCTTCAAGTCTTACTTATATAAATATATTAGTATGGTTACATTTTTATAAGGAGTTTTATTAAACAAAAGTGTTGTACGAAAGAAACATTTAAAACTTGTTTGTTTATCCAAGATAGTTTTGAAAACAATTCATTTATTTATAAAGCATAGTGATAAATCACATGTGATTTGAACTACAGGTTGTGAATCACATGTGATTAATTCTGTAATCTGAAAAATTGTCTTGTATAACTTTTCATAAACATGTATATTCAAATTGTATCTCCCCCCTAAAACATATAAAACATTTGAAAGGTTCATTAAAGGGGGTATGAACTCACCTGAAATCGCGTAAATCGGGTGAATCGGGTAAATCGGGTAAGAGTGTTGGTTGAGCGTTTTGTTCCAAATAATGACTTGTACACCTTTAGGACCCTAATGTCATATGAAAATATGTGTTTTACAATAAGTTAACCATTTTATGCTTTCCGTTTAAGTATTGAGGCATTCTAGCGTCAATTCGGGGTTTTAGGGCCTAGAAGGGGTTCCCAGGAGTGGTTTAAGGCTAAAGAGGATTTACGGAAGGATCCATGAGCTCACTCCCTTGGAGTTTACGGCCTAAAGGCCACTCCTTTGGAGTTTACGGCCGTAAGCCCCCTAGGCTTGGCCGTAAGCTCATGTGGTCTTCCAAATTGCTTGTTTAAGGCCTTATTTCACTTCCTTACTTTAATGGCATGTGTCTTGGACCAATATGGAGGGATTAAACTCTTGTTTTGTGACATTTTGGGGAGTTTATGGCCAAGACTTGTTCTTGGGCCATTAAATCCATTAAATCCTTCAAGATGGATGTTTAAATGGTACAACATGTTCTTATTCACCTTAGGTAAATCCTAGAAGGCCTTACAATGAGTTTTGGGACAATTTGGCATGAAATTTGGGGAGTTTACGGCCCAAGAATATCCTTGGCCGTAAACTCTTCATTTGGCCCAAAATGGGAAGTTTAATGGTACAACACACATCCAAAGGCCTTAGCAAAAATCCTTACATGCATTTGAGGGGTTTTGGGACTTGTTTGACACAAAAACATGGGTGTTTACGGCCCAAGCTTAGCCTTGGCCGTAAACTCCTCTTTTTGCCAACAAATGAGGTTGTTTGATTCATTTAAGCCTTCCTTGTTGTCAAGTCTAAATTACCAAACACCCTAGATGAGTTTTTGGGACTTTAAACAAGGGTTTTTGGGGTGTTTGAGGTGTTTACGGCCTAAGCACAAGCTTGGGCCGTAAACTCCTTTTTAAGCTTCAATTCTTTGTGTTTTAGTGTCCAAACTCCCCTAGGTTTATGCCTTAATTAGTCCATGAGCTTGAAGGAAGGAAAAACAAGGTCTTTGGAATGATTTTGGGGGGTTTACGGCCTAAGGGTCTTCTTAGGCCGTAAACTCCATTTTGTTCCTTTTTTTTCTATGATTTTGGACTCTAAATGTAGTAAAGTATGTTTAGATTAAGATAGGGAATGAATCCTTACGTTTGGAAGTCGGAAATTCACGGATTTGGTGTCGATTTCGGGTCTAGAGAGAGAAAGTAGTGAGAGAGAGGTGAAAGTGTGGTAAAAGAGTTCAATTGTAGTGTTCAATCGTTTTTATATGTCTCGGGTATTGCACCCGATACACGGCTACCCGATGCTAAAGTTTAACGGGGTTAAAACTTTTTACCCGGGTGAAGTGGTTGAAAAATAATATAACTCTATTTAGTTAAACGGGGTTAACATTTGCAAGTTATAATTACTTATGATAATACCGGAACATATAATTAACTAGATATTTATTTATTGACGACCCAAACAATACCGAGAAATAACATATAGTGATGCATTCCGTTAGTGAAAATAGGGTTTGTAACGGCAATATATTTGGGGTTGTCACAAGTTTCAAGGCATGGAAAAGTGGTTTGGACAATTTAGGGACCCTTTGAGGAGTTTACGGCAATGAACTATATGTTTACAGATGTAAACTCTTGTATACATGCTCAAAATGTTTCTTGGTGGTCCTCCTTTTATCATATGTGATTTTAAGATATTACACAAGCCTTGGAAGGAATTTAGGGTGTCATTTGGCCATGATTTGGGAGTTTACGGCCCATGAACCTCTTTTTGGGAGGGTTTACGGCCGTGAACTCCTAAGGGAGGTGTTTTCATTGAGTTTAAGGCTTCCTATACGTTTGTGGTTGATTCTAGAATTTATCCCAAGGCTATTGGTGTGTTTAAATGGCAATTTAACACCTTAGAAGGAGTTTACTCTCCATGATAATGAGTTTACGGCCCAAACATGTTCTTGGGAAGTAAACTCATGTTTACTCCTCTGCATTGATGTTCAAGGTGTTCCAAGTCCAGTTCCATAATTCTATAAGTCATATCTAAGCCTCAATGGTGTTTTGGAAGGGTTTTAGGGCATAAAAACCCATTTTATATGTGTTCACGGCCCAAGGGTGTTCCATGGCCATAAACACATGATTATGGTCCTAATCCATGATTTGAACTCGAATTTCAAGGTCTAAGATGCTATACTAGGAGTTAGGGTGGTTACCTTGAAGATTTGTGGCTTGAATTTGATGTTTTTAGACCTTAATCTTGAGTTAGAGGAGAGAGGTTAGAGAGAGAGAGAGAGAGAGTAGTGAGAGAGAGGAAAGGCTTCAAATGAAGTCTTTTGAGCTTTTAATAGGTCAAAATTTCAGGACACGGTGGAATTCTACCCGATACCAACGTTAAACGGGGCTTTTGGTCGCACTCGATTAAGTTACCGTAACCCGGTGGGATAGAATTTGGATATTTTCAATTTAATGATTTTGGGCTATTTTCACGAGTTTCTAAAGGATTTGAGCACTTATAAGATAAAAACAAACTTATAAGTTTAAATAACTTAGCCCAAAAATAGGATCGGAACGAACCGCTATAGTCGGGTTTTATGGACGAAATGGGTTTCGGCGATGGACAACTTCGGGTTGTCACAACATAACTTGCTACCATACATACATTATTCATATGTGAATACAACAGGAATGACATATATATGTTCTATTCACATATGAATATAACAAAACATATTCATATGATAATAAGAAAAAAATATGAATACATATGTTTTATTCGAATATTCAGTCGTGAATATGTATGTTATATTCACATATGAATAAAACATATCTTGCTGCCATACATACATTATTCAAATGTGAATACAACAATAATGACTTATATATGTTCTATTCACATATGAATATAACAAAACATATTCATATGTGAATAAAAAAATATGAATACATATGTTTTGTTCAAATATCCATTCGTGAATATAAAACTCATTTGTCTTCTACTTACTATTGAATGAAGGTAAGAACACTAACATTTCCGATAAAGATTCACCAACAATGAGAGAAACAAGATCAATGCAGAAGAGGAAAAATGCGAAAGGTACAAAATTCCTATCATATCTAATATATTGATATATAATCAAATTGTATATATATTAGTTATATTTTTATAATAAATAAATATTAATAAATCAACGAGCATATATCATATTCATATATCAGTAACTTATTCAGATATTATATGTTTTCATTTCCTAGATAAAAAAGAAACAAAAGTACCAAAGAAAATAAAGCATCAAAGCAGGAAAAGACCATAAAAAAGGAAAACTCCTGAAAAACAACAACTCCAAGATTTAGACTCTGATTTTGAAAGTAGTCATCCATCGAAGAAGGCAAAAAAAAAGGAGTCACCAATCAAAAAAGACAAAAAAAAAACCCAATGGTAAACGAATTTTACTCAATGAAAAACAGATGTTCACCAGAGGCATTAATATCTATAATCCTTGGGATGAGCAAAGAACAAAAAGAATCTGTAAGATCTATGGGTGTTGGAGCTTTGTTAAAAATGAAAATCACGGATATACCATTGAAGCTGGGATTTTATGTTCTTCAAAAATTTGATTCTGAGAGAATGGTGATAGATATTGAAGGAAAGGAATTGAAAGTAACAACAGAGTCTGTTCATGACATGTTGGGCATACCAATTTGTGGAAACAAACTTACACAACTGGATCAATGGCCTAAGGATGATACAAGTTATGATGAATGGAAGCAACAATTTAAAAAAGATTAAATCATCCGACTGAGTGCAATAAAAAATGTTATTGTTTCTACCACACAAGCTGATTTCAATTTCAAATTGAACTTCGTAGTTTTTTTTGTCAACACCTTTTGCGAGTCAGCATCAATGGGAAGATGCAACCTGTTTCCCTTGAGTTATAGTTCAAGAAAAACAGATATCACCAACATAGACTGGTGCAGCTATGTTTTGGACTATCTTGTCAGAACAAGAAACTCATACATACCATACTCAGATAATAACTTCTTTGTTGGACCTTCAGCTTTCTTGGTCGTAAGTTATTATAATGTTTATACTCAATTTTTAATAATATTGATTATTCATAAACTAATAGCAAATATTCATATATGAATAAGAAAAATATATTTGTTCACACATAATGTTTTACATTACTTATTCATTTATGAATAAGTAAAAAATAATATTACTTGTTCATATATGAATATCAATTAGTTATCATTTATGTGCAGTTGTTCTATGCTGATAACATCCACTCAGAAGCTTTAACAGTAACACGTAAACGTCCAACAATTTTTTATTGGAGTTCGGAGAAGATTAGATATCGATAGACATTTGAACAAGAAAAAGTTAGATTTGGAGTTGGAGAATTAAACGAAGAATTTGTTAATGAACAAAATGAAGGCGATATAGATCTCGAAGACAGTGATTCTGATAAAGATGAGATCATTATGTTGAGGTAATTAGTTTTAACATGTTAGTAATATTTGATTACATTAAATTATTATATTAAATTCTAATCATATACTTCTTTTTGTTACATAGGCATATGAATTAAAAATATCAAAAATGCTTAATAGTTTTGAGAGGATGAAGGAAAAGCTCAATTCAAAGCTTAATGATGCCATGACAAAGTTCCCTGAAAAGGAAAGTTTTAGAATTTTCAAAGAAAAGATGACAAATATGATTGTTGAAGAAAAAACTGAAAGCACAACACCTTTTAATTTTCCAATTAATGAAACTGGACTTGAAGGATTCGATTTGACACCAATAATGGGTCAAAAAACAAATGATCAAACAGAAAATGAAGATAAAGAAGGAAATGGTGAAGAAGACAGTGATAATGATGCAAGTCAACCAGAAGTAGATTATTTGCTTGATTCAAATGAAGCAGATAATGAAGGAATAAAGAATGATGCAGATAAGAATAAAAAAAAGGTGAAATTGGAGTAAAAGAGAAAGATGGAAAGAGGAATGAAAATCAGAATGATGAAGAGGAAAAAGATGATCATGCTGAGGAAACAAATAATCATGAAGAGACTAATCAACAAACTGAAAATGAAAATTTGTTGGATAAATTTGTTGACAACATTGTGGACAATATCCTTGGAATTTGAGTTTCAAGTTTAAATAGTCAAGAAGATGAAATATGGAATCACCCTGAAATGAAAACTATTTTCGATAATATTGATATAGGTAAATTTTGTCTTACTTTTATTTAAAAAAAAATATATAAAAATATCAATACACAATAACAATTTTGTTTGTTAAATTTTGACCAGGGTCACCAATGAGTATAGGTAAAACTAATACTCTTGCAGAAAAGGAAAAATCAGAAGGTGTACATGAACAAGGAACAAAATTTGAAAAAACAAAGGGAGATGATACAGGTAAATGAATGATTTAAAATATATTACAATATTTATATTGATTTTTTTAATAACATTGTTTATTCATAAGTGAATAATGCACTATATAAATGAATAAAAAATAAAAAATAAATAGAAATGAAGGAGGAAGAGAAGCTAATAACAAGAAAGGTGGAGGTGAAGAAAAACAAATAGAAATTGAAAAAGGAAATACAGAAGATAGAGGTAAATAGTTGATTCACTAATAAATGAATATAGTAAGTTTTATTATTCATAAATGAATAACACAATATATGAATAAATAAGAAGTATAGTATTACTTATTCATAAATAGTGATATGTATTACTTATTCATAAATGAATACATTACTTATTCACATATGGATTACTTAATCACAGCTCTTTATCTTTCAGGAAAGAAAAAGTCAGAAAATCAAAACAAGAAAGGAGAAAAAGCTGACAAGACAAAAGGAAATAAAGAAGGTAACAATTTGGATAAACATTTCAAAATATAAACTCACATATTATAATTAACTTACAACTATTTATATGATAAATATCCTGGCATGCAGATACTCATCCAAGCTTTAGTCTAGGTCTCAATCAAGATTCAGATCAAACTTCAAGTAAAAATTCTAATGAATCTTCACCAAAAAAAGCACTTACAAAGAAACAAATCAAAGACGACCATCAGAAGGTTGTTATCAGATTAGCAAAGAAAATTTTTCTTAATCCAAATCCAATCTCTGTATCAATTCCTACTGTAGTAGGACCATCAAAGCATGATTTGGTCAACCAAGAGAGAAGAAGCTTGCTGATGCTTTCAAATCACCTTTCAAATGCATAATAACAGACACAAAACCCAAACTGACACATCAGGAGAGTATTGTCTCTGAATGGTTGTTCAACTTACAAGGCAATACATAGTAAGTAACTTTATTTTATATACATTCATATATGATTATTATATAGATAATAATCTATGACATTTTGATTATATATTTGCAGAGATGTGGTTGACCAGACAAAATATGGTCAGATGGCAGAAAGAGCAGTTATGGAAAGTGTATATGCAAACACAGAGATTTTTGGAGAAGTTTTAGACACTTGGTCTAATTTACTTAACCACCAAGAACTGGAAAGGGATTTTGGAAATTCACCATACAGACTCTTCTTGAAAGTTGGAGTTTCTATAAGTTTATGTTCTAACCTTAATTCCTTCCTTATTCATAAATGAATACACCAATATGATGTATTTATTTATGAATATTATATTTTTTTTACAACTTAAATTCACATATGATTATACAAATATGATATATTCTTTAACATAATTATATATATTCAACTAAAATTCACATATGATTATATTGGTTACAGACTTCTTATCTAACTTCAACATTGTCTGATGAAAGAAAGTATGAAAAATTCAAGGAGAACTTTCATGACAGTACCAATGGGTACAAACAAAATCTTGAACATAAAAGATATTGATATGGTATGTTAATTAACGTTGTTTTTTTATATATATATTTTATCAACAAAATACTTACCATTATATACATAAAAACAGGTATTCTTTCCAGTTGTTAGAACTAGAAGTGCTCACATTTTTGTGATTGTCTTCAGCTTAAAGAAACCGTCAATTGAAATTCTAGACAATAGTGCAGTTGTGGGGGATTATGAAGGGAAATACGAAGTAATATTGAAACCTTTGGTATGTACCCAGTTTACAACAACATAAAAGAACAAATTAATTGCATATCTAACATTTATTTTATTTAATGATCAGAAAATTTTGTTTGTGAGATACTTTAAAGAAATAAACCATCCAAGAGAAAACGCAATCTCAAAAGAAAGTATTAAACCCCAACGACTTGAAATGTCATGGATAACAGTTAAAAACAAAGTTGATTGTAGGGTCTTTGCAATGAGACATATAGGGACCTATATGGGATAACCACTCTCAAAGTGGAAACCAGGTCTTCATAAAGAAAGTGCAGTTCAACAAACTACTTTAGAGAAGCTCATGCAAAGATATGCACACATAATGCTAACTTTTGAAATTAACATGTTGAAGGCTAAGGTGTTGGATCTTGCTGAAAAATATCAAAAAGTTGAATTCAAAGTCCGTACTGATCATGCATACAAGGCTATGCAAAAAATTCAAAAAAGGTTAAAAGAATATTGATGATTGCTTGTGAAGATGAAAGAATGTTGAAGTGTGATGCTATAGAACATTTTGTGTTGAAGATGAATGGATTTGAAGTACATGTAAGATGATTCTGCGAAACAAGTTTTAAATGGTTTCTTAAATGTTGTTGAACATCGTTTTTATATTTTGTGAAATGATTATGAACAATTTTTATTATCTTGTGTTGAATGATTATGTAATAGAAACAAGTTCGCTTATTTCTGTCACTTTTTCATATTTAAATATTTTCAAAGTTTATTTATGTTTATTCATAAATGAATACGAATATGATATATTCATTTATGATTAAATTAGGAGTAGTATGTCAGTATAACAAAGTTCATATATGAATATAACTAACTTATTAGTAGAAACAAGTTTGCTTATTTATGTCATTTTTTATATTCAAATATTTTCAAATTTTATTTTTATTTATTCATAAATGAATACGAATATGATATATTCATTTATGAATAAGTCTGAAGTAATATTTTAGTATAACAAAGTTCAGATATTAACATAAAAAAGTTCATATATGAATATTACTTATTTATTAGTATAATAAATTTCACATATTTGTATTCATTTACAAATAATTTACAATATCAATATAACTTATTTTATAGTAATTTAAAAACCAAATATCAACATATCAATTTACCATATCAATATAAATGTGTATTATTCATACATGAATATTAGTGTTTATTGTTTTTATCTGCATATATTCATAAATGAATAAAAAAACAAAAAACAAAAAAAACAAAAAAATCCCTAACTGTCTTTTGCTGATTTAGCTGCTCCAACTCTTTCTGGATAAGTACGTAAATTGTGTGGAACTCGTTTTCCACATCCTGAACACATTCTATGTTCTTTTTTAGAATTTTCATATGCTACTTCACCTGCACTTGGAATTCTTTTCTTGATTCCAGAACCTTTATTGCTTTGAACTTCAGGAACATAAATATTAATCTCTTCTGGAATAGGAATAGTAACACCCAAAAGCTTGCATACGACTTCACCATCTGTCTTGCTTTTCAATCCAGGAGAAATATAATCACTCTCAAATTCCTTCAACAACATTTGTTATTTCTCAGCAAAGTAAGCCAATCTCTTTTTGCCATCTCTTACAATATCCAAACATGATTCAAAACTATAATATGAATCATTCACTAGCTTTACATTCTCACAATCACCTGAATCGGATTGAACAGAACTAAAACGATAAATTCTTGATATCACATCCTTTCTCCATCTCTTTAAAATGTACCTATCAGGAATTTCTTTAACACCACATCTCATCATTATTGTAAAAGCATGTCTGCATAAAACACCCATACACTTAAAATGTTCACAACTGCAATTTATTTCTTTCTCTTCAGCTTTTATTTCAACCTGACACAAAAATAAAATTTACACATTTACATTCATATAAGAATACTCATATCAACACTCATATGTTCATATATTCATATAATATTCATATATTCATATATGAATATTGATATTTATATATGAATATTGATATTCATATATGAATATTGATATTCATATATGAATATTATCATATTCAAATATGAATATTATTACATTTTTCATAAAAAACAAGTAAAATTACCTTTAATTCATTTTTAAAATCACTTTTACTGTTGTTGTGCTACACAATGTAAACTTCCCAACCGTCTTCAATACAAACATATGAGTATGTACAGAAAAAACATGCTTTGTATATTTCTTTTTGCACCTCAAAAAATAATGTACTTGTATAAACCTTTGATACTTTTAGTTCTATTTCTTGAGGTGTTGGCATTTTATATGATGCTTTCTTTGATGCCTTATCAAGCTCTCGTTGAGTATTCCTTTGCTTTTGAATGGAAGTGTCGTAATTCATAATGAAATTCAAAAGTAAGTTCCCACTTTCTGAATATGTATTAAAGAATGAACTCATACTCTCTGACCTCGATGTAGTCTTCATCAAACCACACATTGAAATATCACTAAAATATCCAGGTATCCAGGAATCACGTATTGTAAACATGTCTTTAAACCATCTTCTATCTTCAAGATTGAATTCCTTCATAAGCAAACCCCACTTCACCTCAAAAACATCAAGTTTCATACTAATGTCCCAAACAAGCTTCGAAAACCTTTTTCTAAAGTTTGTGTTTGTAAATAAATCATCTGATATCTGTATTAAAACAAAAATATTCATATATGAATAAATAATAATAAGTAAAATAACAATCAATATTCATAAATGAATATACTAATAAGTAATATATTTGAAATATATTAAAATAATACCTTTTTTTCAACTTTTTCATTATATGCCACATACATAATCGGTGCTTTGAATTACGAAACACATTCTTAACAGTTTGTTTTGTTGCAACATCTTGATCAGTTAAAACAATTGTTGGTTCTTTCCCATGAGTTTTAAGAAATGCTTTAAGCAACCAAGAGTAAGACTCAATGCTTTGATTGCTTAGCAACCCAGATCCAACAGTAACCGATTTTTTATGAAGGTCAATAGCAGTAAACCGAACAAAAACATTCGATACCTAACGCACAAAAAAATGTTCATTAAAGTAAATTTTTGATGTATTAATAAGTGAATATAAAAATATTCATATATGAATAAGCTAAAACAAAAGTAGATAAAATAACTTACTTGTTTGTTCGGAAAGTCGCATCAAAGACGGTCATTCATTGTGTTTACTATCATTTGGGCATCTTTATAACCAATAAGCCTGTTGATATCTCTCCTTAAATTTTTATAGTCAACTACTTTGTGAAGTTCATCAAACTGAAAAACTTTATAATCTGGAGTTCCATACATAGATTCAAATATAATCTTTGCTTGACAACCAATAACTCTTGAATTTGAATTTCGTTTCCTCCTAACACCACTTGTACCTAATGTGTCACAAGATTTCTTTTTCTGTTTACCACCACGATTACATATAACATGAATCTTCTTTATAATCTTGTTATCAAACCTTGACTGTGTGCTCAGTCTAACAGCAAAACCACTAATTTCAGCATACTCATAATACATTTTGATAGCCAACTTTAATGATTTGAATATTAAACCCTTAAATGGAATAAGTTGAACAGGTACATCTGGCTTATAGACATGTTCTCCAATTATATCATCAAAATATTGTGCATCACGTACTGAACTTGAAGATTCACCACCAAAAATTAATAATGCATGAATAAAACAATAATATATATGAATACATAAAACTCATATAAATAAAACAAAAAACATTCATATATGAATAAAACATTCTTATATGAATACATAAAATTCATGAGGATTCAAAATATATAAAATAAAACATAACTTATTCATATATGAATAAAACGAAAAAAATAATAAATTCGAAATTACAATTAACACACGTTTATTCATACATGAATAAGACAACAGTTTATTCATTTTAACATATTCATATGTAAATAAAACATAACTTGTTCATATATATGAATAAAACGAAAAAAATAATAAATTCGAAATTACAATTAATACACGTTTATTCATATATGAATAAGAAACCAATTTATTCATATTAACATATTCATATGTAAATAAATGATAATCAACAAAATTAAAAACAACAAAATAATTCAATAACTGATACCTTCAA